TTTATTGATTACGTTTTATTAACACACGTCAAATGGATTAGAAGGGATCAGACCACATGCTCTCATCTTGAGACACCAATTAGATTATCCAGTGTTTTGCTTTTTCTGTCACCTTTGCTCGTTCCTAGAAAAAACGTACCTTCACGTATTAAAGATGCATTCAGACACGAACTGAATCCAGACATTTTACTTGCTGGCAGGAAAATGTCTGGAATACATCCAAGTGAGTCAAACAGAACGCAGCAGAAAAATATCTGGAGAATTCACAGCCAGCAAGTGGCTGCGTTGATGACATAATGGATGCAACACAAAAAAAACCTTGAGAATACAAATTTCCAAGGATGTAAAAGAGGTGTCATGCACGTAGAAGACACCGATGAAGATGTTGACTTGAAAAAACAAGAGGCGACCGAGCCTTTGCAGGAGAGGCCCCAAGCTTGTGGAACAGTTTACTACTTCATATTGGTTCTGCCCCCTCTCTCACACGCTTCAAATCATTGTTAAAGGCACATCTCTTCTCTTTGGCCTTCTTTTCAAGTTGAGAAGGTTAATCAGGTTAATCATTAGTATCATTATATTTTGCATGTTACTGTTTTCTTGTCGTTGCTTTTACTTGTAAAGCACTTTGGTCCACCAAGTTATTTTAAATGAGTTTTATAAATGAAGTTAAATGTGTCTAAAACCGGTTTAAGTCAGAGCTGGGTCCAAAGAATTCACAAGGAGATGTGAGTTCTCTGTATTTTTCTTCTAATGCACAATCCCTCTGTCACTGTGTGGGATTTAAATGCGGCCTGTAAAGTATTTTACCTTTGTAGACTGTGAATGTAAAAGCTGAATGGGAAGGTTGCAATATCTATTGTTATTCAAAAATTTAAATGTCAAGTGTTGAACAATGAAACATCTTTGTGTTTTTTGTTTTATGCCCTTTTATACAGTGAAGTAGCAAGGACTGAAATAGTGACCAGCCTATTTCACAGGATGAACCAATACAGTTAAAATAACGGTAATAAAATATTCAAACATATCATTTAGTTAAGTGGAAGTAGTGAAACATACAGTGTGTTGCTGTATTAGTGTAAGAATATGTTTAAAAATAGCCTTGATTTTATAATTTATGATATAAAAAAAATAAATATTTGAACAAATATGCTCCCGGAGGATTCGTTGTGGTTATGAAACAGGTTGTGGTGTCATGTACTCCACTGGGTTCATGAAGGAGAATCCTGGGAAGGCCTCGCTGGCAGCGCTCGCCTGGCACCGCTCGTTCACGGATGCAGGGATGGGTTGTAGCGTGAACTCCGGGTCGATGTGGCTGATATCACAGGGACCAGACTGGAGCAGACACAAACACACACTCAGGTACGCTGCATTGATTATTAACGATAGTGCCCTCCACTCATTTCTGAATCACTCGTACCACGTTTGGGATGAAGGGAGGTTCCACTCTCCTGGCCAGAAGGTCGTCCCAGTCGATGGAGGCAAAGAAAGGATGTTCCTGCAGCTCCTCCTGCAGACACCTCAACATTAGACCCTCTGTGCTTGTGTCACAGTTTGTTTCTCTTTCTCAATGTGTGCACTTACGAGGTCACGGCTCGCCCCTGTGCGTTTGGTGACGTCCCTGTCCAGCAAGCCCTCTAACAGTGAGCGTGCCGCCTGAGACACCCCGCTCCCCAGCTGCAGAGGAGCGTAGAGTTTCTTCTCGAACATCTCTGCTTTGCTGAGGCTGTAGAATGGAGGCTGAGAGGCAGAACAGGGAGATGGAGTGAGGTGAAGATGCTGAGGAAAGATAAGGTGATGAAAAGGAAAAGAGATTGTTTCCCTTTACTTACCAGTCCAAAGAGCATCTCAAAAAGCACAGTACCGAGTCCCCACCAATCCACTGCTGGACTGTACGGGCAGCCCTGTAGCACCTCTGGAGCGAGGTATTCTGGAGTCCCACAGAATGTGTGCATAATCCCACCTATGGCCACGCCTTCTTTACACAGCCCAAAGTCCGTCAGCATCACGTGACCCTCGCTGTCCAGCAGGATGTTCTCTGGTTTAAGGTCTCTGGCAGACAAACACATGGAAGTGTTTAGTTTTAGTTCTTTACAGAAGCATTTCTTGCTGTTGATTATCTTATATTTTACATTTGCTTCTTTTCTCATTTTAGTTTTTGATGTGCTGCTGGAGGACAGTGGTGGGGGCTGGTGGTAAGTCTGTGTCAAACATTTCCAAGGCAGTGCTCTCAAAGTGAACAATTCATTGGGATTTCCCTGCATGAATAATGAAACATGCAGAACATGAGCCATGGGAAACTGTACCTGTAAACGATGTCAAGAGAGTGGAGGTAGCCGAGCGCCATGGCCATCTCTGCAGCGTAGAAAGCAGATCTTGCTTCAGGAAATGAGCCCTCTCTCTGGAGATGGTAAAAAAGCTGAGGACAAACAGACGAGCATTCAAATACACGGATTCCTTAACTGACACTAAGATAGAACACAACAGCAGAACCACAAGAGGTTACGACCCCAGATGCTGTGACCGCTGGTGTCAAAAGTTGCCGTATTTTTAAATTATACATGCACACTTAAAAAATGGACCAAATTATGTTTTATGATATATGATTTATATAGATTACTTCAACTCTGATAAAAAATAACTTGGTTGTTTGTACAGTTTTTAGCCATCACACCAATGACAGAGAGAATTAGTTTTCACACTCTTACCTCCCCTCCATTGACATAGTCCAGGACGAAGTAGAGCATGTTCGGCGTCTGGAAGGAGAAGTGAAGTCCCACTAGGAATGGATGTTGCAGCCCCTTCAGCAGTACGCTCCTCTCAACCATCACATGCCTCTGCTGCACAGACACGACAGACACAGTGAGCAGACAAGAAGGCTGACAGACAGACACACACACACACACACAGACAGACAGACAGACAGACAGACCGACAGACAGACAGACACATCACCTCTTTCCTCTTGACGATCATCTTTTTCTGCAACACTTTCACAGCATAGTAGCCCCCTTGTTCTCTGTGTCTTGCAAGCAGCACCTGTAAACATTTGAAATATGACCTTTCATGTCCCTGCACCAAACTCTGGGGAAAAACCCCACAAAAAAACAAGAATAAAAAATTCCCACCTTTCCAAAGCTTCCTCTGCCGATAACTTTGAGGTAGTCAAAGTCTGACGGCTTCATCCTGTTTGATACAGCGACAGAAAACAGATTTAGACAGAACTATAATAACGCATAGTCTGTATGTCCCTAATCACTTACATTTTAGAAAATAAACTATGTATTGCCAATACACAGAGGTGAATACTTTGTCCAGTGGTTCTCCAGCTGGGTTTGAGATCCCTAAAGAACCCCGACATAAAGCTGTGGGGGCCCAAGGTGATTCAAATTTCTCTATTTATTCTTTAGAGCTACTGAATAATATTAAAGCCGTAAGAGTAATTAAAGAACAATCTGAAACTGAGAGACCAAAACCTGTGTCGAGAGGTCACAAGGCCAAAAAGTTAGGGGATTATTCACTCTTTTCTGATCACATCAAAATAATGTATTAATCACTATACTCACTGCAAGTGGCCAAAAATGTCTAGATTTCTTCTATGTTTTCAATTGAGACTGCTTATTGAAGCATTACGAGTTATTGACACATTCAGTAGAAACAACTTATTCCTTTTTAGGGTTATAGGGTTACAGACGTCAGAGCAAACAACTTACTGAGAGGTTTCTGTGTCCACTGAGCTCTGGGGAGAGAGAAGACACAGAGGGACAGGGAGGGACAGGGAGGGACAGGGAGGGTCAGGAGGTCAGATTCAGTTTCATGTCCTGTCAACACTCAGTATTTTAAAATCCTCCTCTCTGTGCTCACCACGGGGCTTTTCTGGTCCTTCTCTTTTCTCAGCGTGCTCTGTCGCCGCAGGATTTTCTGGGTGTCCAAACTTCGATAAAGACACGAGAAACAGTCAGGCAGTTGTTTCCATGCAACTGAACACGAAACAGGAATTATACACATGCATTTCTTCCAACTGTCAAACTCACTGTTGGCAGAGTTGTTGACTGGAGACAAGTTTGTGTAAGAAGTCACTGAAGGCAACTTTCTTCCCTTTGAGCAGAGCTGTGACACAGACAGACAGACAGACAGACAGACAGACAGACAGACAGACAGGCAGGCAGGCAGGCAGGCAGGCAGGCAG